CAGGTGTGCCCTGCATATGATCGGTGCACACATATGTACTAATTTAATTACTGTCTTCAGAATCCCTCCGTGGTGTAGTCGTATGCCATGATTACAAGTGTCATCAAGACGTTCAATGACTGTGAAAAGTGTGCTAAATAAATTCACTTATTTCGGCACAGAAAATATCGCAGCAAAAAAGGAAAACATGACAGTATCTTACATACTGATGTGTAACTTGTCCAGATAAAGGGGTGGTTTAAGTTACATTAGCACGACTATAACTCATACTCTCCTTCCGGTTAGGAGTTCTTGTGGCCATCTGGGGGACGTCAAGCCTCGGATAGTTCCTTCTTTCAGTCGGAAATTACTCAGTTTCCAGCGCGCGGTCCGTAGTAAGTCCTCACGCTGGCCATAAACGGGTTCATCATCCATTGAGGTGGCGGAAGGTCCACTGCTCCGCCTGGTGATATCGGAGCGGCATGCGATCGATTGGCTGCACTGTCGTTAAGGGACAATTTCTCCAGAGCAGACGGCGGTAGAGGAGGGGGAGGAGGATGGGAAGCGGAAAGGGAGAAATCCATCGGTGCATGACTCATCGCTGATAATACGTTTGCCTCGGGACCCGTGGTGGGAGATTTTTTCGCTTGTTCCGGCAGTGTGATCGGTGGAAATTGAGCATCCTTCAAAGGGGTAGAGATAAGGCAACTTATTATTCGAAATTCCCTTATGGTTTACCAAAGCGTGCACCAACCAGTGAGCTCGTGTTACTTTGGGTACGCAGCTAAATCGACATTGAGCTTGGACATTTCAAATACCAATATTTGGTGAGGGGGTTGTCAAAATTACAATTCTGGTGGTGTAAGGGTAAATCACGTTCAAAACAAGCTTCTTGTTGTTACATTTCAGGCAGTAATTTTGGCTTTTACCGTATCTCCATCGTCGAATTCAGTGAGTTGTACAAAGCCACGTCTTAGCTGAGAGCTAGTCAATGAAAGGCGGTCAGGCGCTTACGACAACAATTATCATGCTAGGAGGAAAGGAGTACCGCCAAGAGTGATTATTACTTGTATGGGGGCGCCTAAGCAGGACACGGGAACAGGAACCGCATCTGACTTTGTGCCAAATTCCAGGGAACTCAGGTTTAGCATTAAAGCGACGGTTAGGGTTTCGGTAAACTTTTGGGGCATATCAACCTAATATCTGCCTATCACGTGTGGCATTCAGATTGACATTTGGAGAGATCCCGTTTTCAGCCGGGGATCCTCTCCGGCAAGAAGCCCAGATAAAGATGACTTGTATGGCCGCCTGCAATACACGTGGCTTTGCGCCAAATTCTGGGGCAAGTAGGTTTAGGATTAATGTCAGGATTAGGGTCAAGCTTATGGCTAGGCTAAAGGTCGGGGTGCGGGTCAGGGTTGGGTTTAGAGTCGGGATGATTTTGAAAGTGAAGGTTTGGGTTCGTGCTAACCGTAGGGCTTAGGTTTAGGGTATGGTTATGGTTAAGATTAAGGTTATAGTTTAGTTTCATGTTAGGGTTCGTGGTGGGGTTAACACACGAGAATATGTATCGTAGGTATCGTAGGGGTAGCTATCGTAAGTGGACGGG